TCATACTCTACTAGGTACAATACGACATTACTAGCCGGTGACACGATAGAGCAATGTGTCGTTAACTGCCACCTGTTACACTTAATAGGTGATTTTCCGTACAATTGCGAGATCTCGCGAGATGTATGAAAAACGCGCGTCGAACGTCTGCCGCAAAAATCGAACGATTTGATTTTGAACTCGAATTTCCTTATTTCGTAGCTCACACCGACCGGCCGATCTTCGGCAGAGGAATATTGCTTCCGAATACCCTTACTTAATCGAAAGTGCCTATCATCAAATGTGGACAGCACATTATTAAGCATGGAAATGTCCCCAAAATACTTTCGCGTTTGTCGAATCCCACGCGATGTTTGACGCCACTACGACGCTATGACCTTTGTTTGTCCTGTTTTTACGTTCGATTTCACGCATAACGCATGATTCTCGCAGTGAACGGAAAATGGTCTATTGCGGTATGCATCCATTAACATCGAACACAATAAATGACAGTGACATTTAAACATAACTTGGACTCCGCTTGTACCTGCAGCCGGATGTTTGCTACCGGATGTTTGCTACAGGATCAACCTTTAGGCGTTGATGATTATCTTGAACTCGACCTTGTCTTGTGGGAATTTTTCTATATTTGAATCAGGCTGTGTGTTCGTATTAGTTGTATTTCTTTCTGATCGGCTTGTTTAAAGCGCCGCGCCGCGACGCGCTCATTATGGGGTCTCACGCGACGCGCAACGCATTCAAAATACATTGTAAAAATTCGAACGCGCTGCACCACCACTGTGAATTACGTCAGCATAGCACATCATCTTACGTGTTCGCAATATAAATACTACCAGCAGTATTATGATGAAAAATGAAAATGGGATGAAAAATTCAAATATTATTATTGGGATGAATCATAATATTAACACATTTCAAAAATCCCAATTTAATTCAGTTATGTTAATTTTTCGTGTGATAATAGATCGACAGTTGACACAATGGAAACTATAGCGACGGGCGTTAACAATGCGTTCCACGTGACGTATTGTTTACCTCTGCAACAGGTATATTAATTAATATTGCTCGTAATGACGTTAATGACGATCCTACCATTAACAGACAGGTGTTCACCGTACACAGAAAACAACAGGGACATTGAACCCCCAAAAATGCAGTGTATGACATACTACGTCAGGTAGAATAGGTTATGTGGAAATGTAATCCATGGAAATATTTGCTTAATTGCCATGCCTGCATTTTTTGAGTTATTTTATTTACATTGAAAAGAAATATTTGATATGCGACTGTTGGTTACATCGTCGTCGTCGTCGGTTTTGACAGCTGTTTCAGGAATTATATTTTATTGGTGACGTGGCTCTAATATATTATTGCGCACCAGCATATGTTGGTAATGGCGCTGTAAATCAATAGAAACTCCACTATGTCGTATAAATACCGTGCGATCAGTACGTCGTCCATATAATCTACTACACCGGTTCGTGATCTGTGCCGCAGACAATTCAACAACCAGGCCTGTATGTGGTCTGTATCGCAGACAATCCTTGCCTGTCTCGAATACGTTCGGTTTCCTTTTTGACGAGTATTATAGGCGTACCCAATACACTGCATTGACCGGATATTTCAGACAGACAGACGGTACGTTCTCATCTGACGTAGAACGATGATATCGAGTTGATTGGTATCTGCATTGATCTACACATGACCTTGGTCGACCGCACGCGACTCGGACAAGGACAGTTGAGAGAACGGTATTTTACAGTAGAGAAATTATTTATAGTAACATTAATTCATGTATAGATTTGGACGTAGGCGTATTTTGCATGTGAGTGAGTGCACCTGTGTGTTGCACCTTGAAATTACTCACAGAATGAAGGATGTGTGACGTCACTATATGCTTGATAAAAACAAACCAGATTCTTATATAAGACAAAAAAGGGAGACTTCCTACATCTGGTATTGGAACATTAGAAAAATTTCAACGCTGACTTAACCACACGTTGTATTGAATATACATTGCCGACTAACTCAATTCTAGACCTTTAGAATAAGACACTATGAGATTCTATCTGATCGTATTATTGGCAGCTCATTGCGGTAAGTTATAATTATATGTGATGTGTATTATGCCAATCAACTAATACTTGTTTGGTCAAGAGACTTGATTTTATGATCATTTCCCTAGAATTTCGTGGTTTTTGGAGAAAACTGTCGGGAAATTGTTGTTTCATCAGCAAATTTAATACATGGTTTTGGGACACGATTTTTCACATAAAAAATGAAATCGTATCAATAATGCGGGATACTGGCAATCTCTTATTGCTGTTTTTTTAGTATTGTTTCAATAAAATAAAATATCATGATCTGATTGGAATGCGTAAACGGCGAAAGCCGGGTTGCCGCGAGGCCCGGGTTAATTATTTCACGGTAATCCGGCTTTCGCCATTTATACACTCACATTTTTTGTTATTTTGAAAAAAAATAAACAAGAGACTGTAAACAAGTCTAGCTGGATATATAAATTAGTTTCGTCTACTTCGTTTATCGAACTCATTTAAATGTAATATCATTTTTAGTAGTAGTAGTAGTACTTCATGAATTGTTTTTGTTTAAATATTTGAGCTGATTGTGTCAAAAAAACCCAAAAAGAATGTTTAAAATGTGATATTCAGTACAGCAGTAAATATGAAAAGATTTTCCCATCGCTTGCAAATAAAGTATTTACGTTATTCTGCGTTGGGCGTATGTTGTTACCGTTAACATACACTGCCATGTGTTGATAAACAATTAAAGTGGCATGGAGTTGACGCAAGGCAACAAAAACGTGGTAAATTTTGGTCCTGTTTATAAGTGCACTTGCATATCATATTGATTATTAACAGTGTTGCGTTCCTTTTACTGGTGCATGGACCCAGATTAAATACATTTCACAGAGCTGGGTCCGTTTACGAGTGCCCGAACCCAGAGCATAGCAATGTTACAGTGTTGGTTCCGTTTAATTGTGCATGAACCAAGAGCAAATGCATTTCACAGAGCTGGACCCATTTACCAGTGTCTCGGACCCAGAGCAAATGCATTTCACAGAACTGGATACATTTACCAGTGCCTCGGACCCAGAGCAAATGCATTTCACGGAGCTGGACCCATTTACCAGTTCCTCGGACCCAGAGCAAATGCATTTCACAGTGCTGGATACATTTACCTGTGCCCCCGGACCCAGAGCAAATGCATTTAGAGTTCCGTTTGCCAGTGCATGTGCCTAGATAACAAGTATATCAACGTACTGTTGTCTTATACCTGTATTATTATCATACATAAACAACATATAGTTGAATTTCATGCGTTCTGGCCAGTATGATTTAATATACTAAAGTTTTCAAATGTCTACTTTGTTATTCAGGTTGCCTATTGGCCTCGCCTGGTGTTCGTGTTCGACGTAATCTGGCTCAGTTGGGCGATATGGTAACGTGTATGACCGATGCAAACATCGTTGGCACCGTGCGTGACTATGTGGGTTACGGATGCTTCTGTGGATTTGGCGGGGAAGGAACGCCACTCGATGATACGGATAAGTAAGTTAATTGTGTAATTCTAAATTTGTTGGTCTAGCAAAATTATCAAATTATTGTTGCACCAATCACATAATATCATTTTTGAGTTTTTAGGAAGTGTTGTTACCCGTGTTTTACCGGTATTGTGGGATCACTGCCGTGGATGAAGAGAAAAATAAAACAAATTTGTGTCGAATGCATAATGAATCGGATAATACTGGATTAACAAATTGCCGCCATGCACATGTGAGAATATATTTGCAAAAATAATAAAAACACACAAACACAAATTCTTCAACACACAGTCCCTGTGTCTATAGAGGGACTGTGTTCTACAATATTCCAAATGGGAAAGTCCTAACATGTGGTAGCGTATTTCTATCGGCGACAGCTGTCATAGATGTTGCCTTATAAAGGCGCATGCGCAGATGTGACATGTGTCTACTACTAAAGTATAACTGAGGATCTCATAGCGTTACTGTTGCGAATTCTGAAATCTGTTCAACACTATCTTTCTTTTTTGTTATTTGTCTTCCGTGTATTATCTCGGTGTCATCGCTTCCAAACATCATGAGTTTAATAGCTTGGCAATGCGCCAACCGCAGTTGACGCTAAAACAACAAACAATACATGCGCACCCCCAAGTTGACGCGTGCGCATGACAAGTGCATTTTCACTATCAACGCCGACATAAAAAGTACGCTGTTTTGTCCTCGGCTGTAGTATAAAGATCATGAACAAATGTGAAGATTCATACAGACACGAAAGATAACACTGGCACGTTTTTAAATGACGTCGTTGCGCGCTGAGCTCGTTGGTTGGACTTAGATTCAATTGTCAAATTTGGAATTTATATATATTTGTTTAGCGCTCTAATTAATATAGAAATATTTTTTGTGACGAATAACATATTTGCAAAAAAACATAATTCAAACTGATTTCATAAATCGCCCAAATTTCAAATGGGAAACCTCTGACATACATCAACCTCGGCCCATCAACCAGTCACTGTCACGAGTAATACCAACAACGGTACAGCAAGAGCATTTATTTGTTCGTAGTTACAAATTATTAATATTATTAGCGTTATTAATAGTTATTATTTATCATTTTCCGCTAACTACACAACTCTCATTGTGAATTATATGTACTTATCTACCTTATGTATATGGTGAAACATACATTCATTCATTCATTCAAAAGTCAATAAGAGAAATTAAAATTCATTGAAAACAATATGTCGGCGATAGAGGGCGCCAAACACCGGTATTCTGTGTTCACTCTATGTAGTTTGTTCACACACGTTCTGAAACACGACTGCATGTGTGACGCCGCCTAAGTTCACTCGGTGAGAACAGGGCTTATAATTTAACAACATTTCATGCACACAATCTATTATCACCAATATAGAGCTTGACAAAATTTTATTGTTAATAACGGTATTCCTGTTAATGTTCCAGGTGCTGTCAAGAGCACGATTTGTGTTACGATGCTACAGTTTGCGGTGGTCTTGAGCAGTATGGTGCTTGGTACGACTATGAGACGTTCAACTGCGACACTGACTCGGCTGCCATCGAATGCAGTGAGTATAGCACCAGTGTGCTTTTTGTGTGCGAAGTACTGGGATACAAACCGTTAGGTTATTGAAAGTGCAGAAACATTACATGAATATAGGCTACAAATGTAACGCATGCGCATATGAATCAACATCAGTACAAAAAAAAAAAATATTTAGTGAATAAACACAATTTAAATAGAATAGCCGCCATCTACTTGCCCCCAAGGAATAGTCAATTTAAATATTTCGTCATGCCAGCCATCAACATTGTCAGAAGTCATGTCTATTACAATATGCAACCATATATGCCCCAATATTGCTCTTGTTGCCTATGTATTTTCAAAAGTGTTATGAAACACCGTAATTTAAAAGAAAATGTGTTTGCTTTATTTATAGAACCAGCTGATCAATATGTTGACGATGATGATGCGTTGTGCAAAGCTGCATTGTGTCAATGTGACGCAGATATCGCCATGTGCTTTGCCAAGAACCAAGACACTTACAACAAAGACTACAGGGGTTACGACAACGACTTATGTACTTAAGGAACACAAATAAACATAGTTGATTGTGCGCTGTCTGTCTGCTTGTTTAGTATAGATAAAATCCGACTACGAGGATATAGAAAACACTTAAAGTGGGAGAATCGTCATCTGCGCACGCGGGAATTAAGTCCAAAGCGACGCTAACAACACACGCTAAAAACGCAAAGGCTCATGGGTAGACGCTTGTCTGTAAACAATTGCACGATATGGCCATCTGACGCATACGCAGGTGACGACTCCCATGCGTTAACATCCAGGGTATACTGGCCCAGCTGTGGTGATTTTTGTTTCAGCTAAATTATAATAATACAAAATTTGGGAGAAAATAGTTTTGCGATATTTGAGGTGAACACAGTCACGGGGATTTCGCGATATTTTTATTTAATTCAAACTTTAAAAAGAAATAAATTGCCCAGACTGTGTCAGTGTAGTGTCCGAGTAGAACAGCTTTATCTGGTTAGAAAACCACCGCTCCAACCCGCCTGTAGATATATATTTTGAGGGAATTCCTTTATTTTGCACCAAATTCGTAATGGAATATGTGACCATATCCCTATATTTGCAAATAGATTATACTATAAAAGTCCTCTAACATTCGTCAAGCAAGATGTGAATGCAGTATATGTGCACGTGGGCGAAAAGCTTATGAAATTATGATCTGCAGAATAATCAACTAATGAATATTCAGAAGCCAATGATAGGCATCGAAGTCCGGATAGCGTCTCTGTCAGATTGACATCCGTGTGAACTCCAGTTTTAACCCATGATGTCACGTGATCTCGTATAAGTCACAGGACAATATATATGAACAAAGAATTGTGACTCGGTCAACGGAAACGCGTAAAAAGGGATATTTACTGCATACAATGTCCCGCTATAAAGCATTCTCATTTTTGATTTATAATTATAATAAACGAAAAATTGGCCTCCATGAGTCAATGGCATAATCCTAATCACGGTTACTGGTAACCGTGTCCTAATCCATGATGTACATGTTGAACTCACTGGAATCAAGCATAAAAGTAATGTTTGAGACAAACATTTTTAAAAAAAATAATAATAATGATTGGATTACAGTGGTCGATTTAGCCAGCTGTTCGAACAGTGATGTGTTTAAAATTTATTGTCTACGTTGTTGTAACTGGTTGTAATTATGTTGAAAGTGTTAATATGTGTGAACTCCGTAATCTTGCTTAAAAATAGCAAATATTCCGTCATCCCGTGGCCTATCATGTAGATCTATCCTACTACTATCCTACTACTAGCTGTGGTCTATGTCGCACACCGGGGTCGCACATAACACAACTACCACACTTGCTTATAATACATTCTGTTCTCCTCTTTGATGTGCATTATACCAATACGTATACGATGTATTGTGCCCAAGAATGTAATCTTGTACCCAATACACCGTATCTAACGATATCGTGTAATTTAAGACATATGGCATATTCTCATGTGATTCTGAACGCATGATGATAGTCAGTTGATTGGTATCTGCTTCGATGTACCCGTGACCTCGGTCAAACTCACGCGACTCGAACAAGATGAGTTTGGAGAAAGATATTTGGCATTTAACAATCACCACGGTAACCCTGTTTTGAACTTCGTGTGCATTTAGAATAATACAATTATCAGAATTCCGAGTTTTGAGGAATTAGACGTGGAAGTATTTAGTGTGAATGCATCGCTGCTGTATGTTGTGTCGCTAAACTGAATACTTATCTTCTTCGACTTGTTTTATGCGGCTCAAATGACACTCGCGTCGATACGATCCCACTAAGCACTGATATTGGGCTATAAACACATTTGTAATCGGCCAAAAAACGGCTGATTTTATTTACGAAATGGTCGCTAGTCAGCAAAATTGGATTAGATTACGAAACAAAGATAGGAGCATATGTACAGTCTGATATTATCCAATTTGGATATAATAGTGTTTCATGTCAGAGTGAAACTGATAGAGATATAATGAACACCGTCAAAATGAGCGCCAGTTGGCCATATGGCATAGGATCTTGAAAAAAATGCACCCCCGCTTCAATATGTATTGTCATCATGTCAAGTTCGATTAAAATTTACTTAGGCTCACTAATCTTTGGTTGTGTATTGTAAGTATTGTAATCAATGTTTATTTTCCGTCAAAATGGGCGAAAGTCAGCCATATTTTTTATAAAAAAGCACGTTATGTGTATAACAAGTTTTGTCTTTCTATCTGCCTGGAAGAAATCGGTCAATGCATGCCAAAATAATTGCTCCAGGCAATAATAATAATAATAATAATAATAATAATAATAATAATAATAATAATAATAATAATTAGATTGGCAACCGGACAACAAGGTTACAAATCGTTGTGGCCTGGCAGAAAACTTGATGGACTCGGGCGATCGTGGCACGAATATTTCATAAATGTCCTTTCTCTCTTTTTTCTTTCTGGACTGTATTGTGTAAACTCATTTCAACAGCAGTTGATTAACTGTGAAATTCTACTATTTGACAATTTTGGACTATCTTCGGTATTTTACTGGTATAGTTTGTATAAATCTGCAAACCACGCTGGGCGCGTCCCGTCTAGTACCTAGTAAACGAAATGGAGCGTTTGCGCGATCAATAAGCGCGTGTACGCCCTAAGCGTCCGCAACGTTGGTGGAACACCAAGTTCGAATAGGGCACGCGGCAGCTGCGAAACGGCATCTGACCATACCCTGTATCACAGAAACATATTGAATCATGTTTATGCTATTTCTTAAATCGGCTGCCAAAAAGAAGGCTAAAGCCGCTTTAAACGAAGAGCTCGGGGAAGGAGAGAGAAGCGCGGACGCTTACCGGCATGGGTGCTGTTGGCGGTGTATCCGCTGGATATTCCGTTGTACGTTCGGTCGATGTGCCGCCTGCCAAGAAGGAACCTACCAGCACGACATTCTTATCAATGTTTTTGGGTTTATTTCCGGACTCTTCATGACAACTTTTTTCTTCTGTCTCTTCATTTTAAAATTGGACTATGATGTGTATTATGCGTGCGGTTTAGCTGTACTTCTCGGCGCGTTTCTGAGTTTCGGACTGGCTTTTAGTTCTCCCGTACGGTGCATGGTGTTGTTGATGATACCACAGCTTTTCTCAAGTAAGTACCATTTTTATTTAAATTCCCTGTTTTTATTTATCCCTTCTTGTATTTCAAATATCATATTAATGTAACTTGTAATAGGATCTTGTGTCTCGTATAAATCAGTCAATTCAAGTCCAACGTGGTTATTAGTATTTGGTTTGGGTATGGGTATGTGAGCTTGTCAAAAATTATGAATTTTAAGTTTGCATGTTTCCCATAATTCCAAGTCACAAGCGTTTATGTTACGTCAACTGGGTATGTCAGCATCGGTGTCAGAATCATTTAAAAACATAATGTAAAATATATAGTAATTGCAAGTAGCAAAATATTTGTTGTTTATTACGATAATATTGTGAAACTTTTCAGTGGTCCTTATTTCACATCGTTCATTGTGCAAAGTCCACGAAGTCGGTGTTGTGTCGCCCCAATATAAAAACAGTGTCTTTGAGAGTTTACTATAATCTAAATTACGTTAGAATACATAGAATATCGAACAGTTTTTGTTTTGATGTACATCTATCTGTGTCGTGTTGATCGTCACTTAGGGATGCACCACTAGAAACTCTTGGTGATGACAGAATTGAAAAAAAAAATGCACAGAAAAAAAAAACATACAACAAAAAATCCCACAAGGATCGTTAACAGAAATACAAAATCTGCACGCCTATTTCTCAGGGGAAAATATCACACATAGAGGATATACAAAAAAACCCAGCTAATTCTTGAACACATAGCACAGGAATTGCAGAATTTCTAATGGTCCGACCCATATATTGACCGGCTTAGAAAGACTGATCTTTGACGGGGGAATATTGTGTTTAGATACCCTTAATTCATCGAAATTATCGTCAAATGTGTACAGACAGAGGTACATTACTTGGGGTTTGCAACTCGCATAGTACTGTATGGTCAAGATCCCATTCAAGTCTCTTCTCGTAGATAGCGAGACTGAGGCTACGACCTTCTGACATGACGCATATCAATGTTCAAGGTTTGTAATGAAAAAATAAAACTTTTCTTGTCACTATCATAGTGAAAAATGTAATACATCGAAAATGTACAGAAAATATAGTTCTCGTAATCCGTCATATCGTGGGCAGCTATTTTGATCCACCTGGACATCCCAGTATCCTAGTTACCTCGGGCATGCGCATTCGCATTTTTCTGAGTTTGAACGCTTATGCGAGAGCGTGATTATGACGGGATCATGGTATCATGTCACCGTAGTTACAAACCCCAAGTAATGTACCTCTGGTACAGAACATTATTGAGCGTGAAAATATCCCCGAAATACTTTCGCGTTTGTCAAATTCCACAAGATGTTGGACGCCATTGCGACGCTATGATGACCTTTGTTTGACCTATATTTATGTTCTTTTTACTCTGTAGGTACTGGTCGGATAGTCTTATTAGCATACGCCATGTTATTGGTTATGAGCGGGCCAATGGCAAATATCAATAATAATTTGAATATTGCCAGTAAAAGTCAGGCGTGTGGTAGCGCTTTGGCGTACAACCAATCACAGGAGATCTTCAATATGGCCACGGCGCCGCTTTCGGGTAAGCTTATTTTGTATTTTATCTAGTTATGCTCGTGTGGGGAGCTGTTTCAAATTAAAGACAATTTATTAATCTGAATTGCCCCGGTCACTGACTGTTTTCCCATGACAACGTGAGCTCGTAGTTAACAATTACGCCATTCAAAGAGTAACACTCGTGTTATACCTAAAGGCGTCACGGACCGAAGTGAAAACTGCTTCGACGTTAATGTGCGTGGAATCAGGTATTGTTCGGATATTATGGAAACATGCAAAAAAGAAGGAAGAAAGAGAAGTTTTGTTTTAAGTAATACTTAGCCTAAATTATCTGTGTGGTATCAAATTAACACAGATGGAATAACATTTTAGTTCTAAAAAGTTTGCATCATCTGTCTCGGCATCCATGTGCATATATTGTCTATTTCTCATGCAGGGACAGTGTAACTGTGCTCAGTAGTTGGACTGATATGATATGTGCTGTTTACAACGTGGCCATTAAATGTGTGTATTAGCTTACCAGTAGAGCAAATGTATCAAAAACAGTATTTTGACGGCGGGCAATTTACTACACATTATAATTATAATTATTATTATTGATTTTTATTAATTTTTATTAATTTTTATTATTATTATTATTATTATTATTATTATTATTATTATTATTATTATTATTATTATTATTATTATTATTATTATTATTATTATTATTGATTTTTATTAATTTTTATTATTATTATTATTATTATTAATAATAATAAAAAACGCGTCTGTTTTAAATGGCGTCATTTCCTGGACGAGATCTATAGTGGTGAAAACTGCACGAAATGTTAGTCCAAATTTGGCCTGCAATAAGCCTTTTGTTTTAGATTTATGAAATCGGACTCATATCTAGGAAATGTTCAGTAATATGCTGACTACTACTTAACAAATGTATCTGTCCTAGCAGCTTTAGTCTCTTTATAACAAGACGATTCCAAAAAAACGTTATATATTATTGTCGTTGATTATTCAGTGGTGATCGACTCGGTGGAAGAAGTAGTAGAATCCATGAAAGAAATTGTAAGAGAAGTTAAGACATCGTTTGAAGGGATAGCAGACGCCCTCGACGCCGTAGGTAAGTCATAAAAACGTTAATGATTCGACTTTAGACTTTGCACAGACCCGTGAATAAATTCAACGGTTTCCACATAGTTTTGCTGACAACGAGCAAGAATCTCGACTCCCAAGAAAGTTTTTGAGTGAATACGATAACAACTTGGGGTAATATGTTTAACAGATCTGCTTACATATCTGACGAAAAATTAATATTGTGGGTTTTCACAGATATTCTAATAGAACATATCATTAGTTATTCGGCTGTATTAAGTCATTACATCATAAGTATTTATTTTAAATGGAGGCGAGACCACTCTCCCTATTAAGGTATATATTGGGTTCTTTTAATGTTTCTTTCGAATCGGGCACCTCTGTCTGGTGGCATGAAAGTTACGTTATTCTCAAACAACCAAGTCTAATACTAGTATATACCAGAACGGTTAGGAAACTGGTTGCCGCCTCCGCAATTACGCACTACTGCGTTATTCAGTAGTCACGGTAAAGATTGGTGGCGCTATGCATATATGCGTAGCCAACAGAGAACCTTTTCTGCCGAACTGCAGATCGCCTCTTTTTTTCTTTCCTTGTTTTTTTTTCTGTTTTTGCTTCATGAGTTGATTGTTTCACTTACTGGTAAATTCATGGAATTTAAGGAACGTTACCAACTTCATGTTATCGAAGACTGCATTGTAATTTTAGCCCGTGCCCAGTGCGCCCTCACAGAACAATCTTCGACTCATTCAGCACGAACTCGTGTTTGGTGTATTCACATGCACTTGGGGGGGGGGGGTCCTGCGGCCAAAATGAGGGAGGCTAAATGTTTGACAATTCCCTACAGACATGTCGTGGTCGTCGGCAAAACTCGGCATTCTTCGGAACTTCTGAATCTCGTTCACCGTAATGATCAAAACACGAGTCAGGGAATTAACTTTATGTATTTGTTTACAATTACCTAGGCGACTCAATTCAAACATCCATCGATTGGTTAAACGGTATTGTGGACAAGTGTAACGAAAAAATGGGCGCACCGGAAACACTGTGCCGCGAAAAATTCCAGGATGCTGAGAAAAAGTGCAAGAGAATTCCTGTTATCAATATTGCATGTGGCGTTATTAGCCTGGTGGAGAACGTGTGTGCGGTAGCTGGAAGTAAGTGAATTGTCGTCAGTGCGAGATAGTCGTCTGTGTTGTCTTTCATTTCGTGTCAGACTAGCCCTGAGTACAGTCCTCTGTAGGGTGGCCTCCTTCCGCTGATCATTCGGCCCTGTCATGGGAAGAAGACCAACACACACTGGACTGTACTCAGGACTAGTGTCACATGTTATTGATTTCAAATGGGCTTTTATTTCATCAGTGAGACGCAGTCACTTGAAGTGGGAGGGTCGTCACCTGCGCACGCGCGGGAATTGAGTCCCAAGCGACGATAACAACACGCGCTAAAAACGCAAAGACTTATGGGTAGACACTTGTTTGTAAACAATGACACGTTATGGTCATCTGACGCATGCGCAGGTGACGACTCCCCCGCTTAATTATATGGCATGGGGTGTTCTTTCTATGAATAAATAGTTTCCGAAGTGAAAATTATTGACCGAAACGCAAGTGTACCGTCACTGAGGTAAATACCGTCGTTGAACCGTCAGAGTATATGTGATAGACAACATTTTGTTTTTTGTAAACAATACAACTGAGCTGGATTTTCATTTTCGACTTGGTGTCACATTCTCGTAAGGCCTGTAATGCACACCATTTCTTCCCATGATTCCATACACACTTCAATTTGCAGGGTTTGAGGTAATATGGCAAAAAACATAGAGTTAAGGATGCCGACACTCAGTAATGAGTTTTATCGACTGCATGTCACGGTGACTGCTAGCCAATCAACGTGGGGATCTTGAATTTGAGGTTTACTGACAAGTTCCACCTAATATATTTTGTGTTGTTTATTTCAGTTGGAAAGCTGTTCTGTTTGATTCCCGGTGCGATTGTTGGCTTAATTGTCAGTACTATCACAACAGGTATTTGTTCGAGTTTCTCTCCTCCTCCACAGACAGAGAGAGGCCCATCTATGAGCGTTATTGTTTTTGTACACCTTCATAACTCTTTGTGTAAAACGAATGAAAATCTCAACGTTTTTAGGAAAGTTCAAATGTACTTGAATGTATATGGTCGCTACATGCCACGTCACAACATTTTCGAAATTGACGTGGAAGCGTTTTCACGTGAAAAGCCTTTGATTAATCACTGCGTTAACTACGAGTTACGGACAACAGATTTGTTTGTGTTGTTTAAAGTTCAAGTTTAGTAACTCGAATTGTTACCAGTTAGCCGAATTTCTAGTTACGGGAAACATACGGGCGTGGGCGTTGTTTCTAAAAATATGGACGTGGTCATTTCAGCATCTCTTACAATACATTGTTTTCATGAAATCCCTTCATTTTTAGGTTGCCAAGTTTACCTCAGTTTGAGAGTATTATCAGGGGGAAATTCTTTTTCCTCTAGGGTTCTCCACACTTGTCAGGGGGGAATCTCGTCTCCTCTCTCTATCGTGTCCCCTTGAGGTGCGGGATCGGGAAAGTCACTTAAGCTTTACAGTCAAATAGGACACACACAACGAAATACGTTTAACTCTCGTCTTAGTCGGTCTGTGGAGCACTCTATAAGACACAGCGCCCTGGGGAAGAATCCCCAAGACTATCGCAAGGCTGACCCAAGACTCGCCTAGCCTCTCCAAGACTGTCTCTGTTCTGGTGTACTCGCCAAGACGAACTAAAAACAACTTTATTCATTTTCAAAACTCTAACCAATTACAAAGCAGAAAAAAGACTCTAGGGCGTAACCTTCAATCATAAAGCCAATCACACTAAGTACTGAATACGTCATATCTTTTGATTAATCGTTCACTACATTAATAACTACGAATACCAACTGTCAGAATTAATAGTCAGAATAGCGACGGTTATCTCGTAATTAGTTCCAAATCACTGAGCCAAGTTCCGTCCAGGACCTCGCCTGCCTAAACGATGACAGACATAACACAGCAATTCGCTAGTAATCAGCTAATTAAGTCGATTAACAGATACGCGTAAACAAATTCATGACAGTATTTCTAACAACAGTGCTTTTTTCGTTCTCACAGGTTGCACCATGGTGTTAGACGAACTTGAGAAAGAGTTCTACGTCAATGTCGACATTAGTCATAATTTTTCGTACGACGCAAACACGTCCAAAACGGTTTCCCAAATCACGGAGGGAATATCTCGCGAGATTGAAAAAAGAACGAGAATATTCAGCACAATTCTGATGTGGGCCAGTCGTGGGTTGGCGTTGACCATACTTTGGATATTTCTAAAGTAAGTTCACACAAATAGGTGAGGCGAGAGCTCTTATATTTTCTATGATATATGCGGAATGGGAAGAGTAGGTATAACACCTCATTGGTTGCACTAATTGCATTTCCTCAAGTGAGACACGCTATCCCTGAGCCAGACAGACACTAATGAGGGCGCAATAGTTCGCACTGACCATGCTTGATACCAAAATACACATAATTTTCACAACAACTTTACAGTGCCGATAACATTGGCGAAACTTGGTTTATCTTGAATGCCAACCAACATAGAATGGTGGATAAACTCTGTGATTCGGTTGTTTTATTTTTTTATAGAGCGTGGATATATCGACGGAAATATTTAGCGAAAGATCGATTCGATAACTGCTACATTACGTCATTGTTTGTTGAAATGGACGACAAGAGGATGGCAATGGACAAGGAAACTATCTTGCCATTGCGAAGAATGGAACGCGGGAAATTCATACGTCCGTGTAAGTATCAATTTATGTTTTATAATTCGTATAATCCCAGCATGCCTCGGCATTGAAGGTTTCTGAAAAAAATGAACCCGGAAAACTTGACCTGAAATGTGCGTTTCACACGTTTGAACCTAGCTAGTCTCCAATTGCAGGATTCCGGCGCGCGTAATAGTCTGTGTAATTACGTCAACAGTTTTGATTGTCATGCGCAATTGCTTCGCAATGCGCACGGCGTGATAGGTTGGTATTTTGAAGAGCTGTTACAAAGTAAGACGACCAACATGGCGGAGACGATGGCGTACTCTTGAAGAAATATCACAAGACGCTGAAATTAACAAATAATTATTTTGTGGTCGTATGAATCGTTGTAAAATGCGGCGTTTTCATGTAACGTATTCTTATATAGGTAAATTCCACATTGAGTGTACAACTCCACGCACGAATGACTGTGAAATTTAAGAAAATTATGCAAAAATATAATTATATGCTCTACTATATTTTGTAGTTTCCCTAAGATTAGCTCGAATGGAGAGATTTAGCATGATTACTGGATTAGTGTTATGGTTTGCACAGGGATTATGGACTGCTCTGATTATGAGTGCAGACTATGGTGCCCATTGGCTGCTACATATGATAGCAGTTCATGCTACAGTCAAAACACAGGCTCAAAGTAAGTCACATCATTTTCCTTCACCGACGGCGTTGTCACGCGTTATGCGTAGAATCGAACGTAAAAACGAGACAAACAAAGGCCACACCGCGTGGGAAGTTCGACAAACTAGAAAGTGTTTTAGAAGTATTTTCGCGCTCAATAATGTGTTATACACATTTGACGATGACCAATTTTAATGACGCAAGAGTATCTCGATATAAAAATGAAGTTCAAAATCAAACCGTTCGGTTTTTGCAATGCATGGTACACCGAGAAAAGTTTACTACTCCGTGTTCGTGACGTACTAGTTATTGGATATAGATGGAGGCAATGCCGTTCAAATCGACAACTGTAGTTAGTTGTAGAGTCGTTCGTCATCTAGAATATAATAAATCTAAAAATAAAACCCAATCATCATTGACGACTCTGAAATAAACGATTATCTACGGTTTTAATGAATAGTAACGAATTTCATTTTAATAGTAGAATGCTACTCGCGATTTTGTCACAAACTCCTAATTGTTAGCGTATACAACCGTGATATTTCGTGTCAAAATATATGTACAATCATTTTATTATCCGAGTCAGTCAACAGTATGTAAACTTTTTTGGTTCACTGTCAATCTGTTTTTTGAGAAAAAAGTAAAATACTACGCATAAAATGCCATTTAAACACCGGTTTTCATGGATCACATTAAAAAAAAACATTTTCTCGTTAAATTCTTAACATAACAATTGTTGCAAGACGTATATTTACAATGGTATAATGCAATTGTTATTGAATTTTATTGATCGACTTCGAGTCTCTCTGAACCAAGTACGATTACTCCATACCTTTATTTTTTGCATCCTTGTAACATGAGATGTGTCAAATATATAAAAAAATGTCAATATTCTCACTTTTGTATCGCATTTTACCTCAAGCGACCCTCGTTTACATCACACAAACATCTCGTCATGAGAGGGCGTGATTTATAAGAATGCCCTTGGCACTTATAATTTTCAAATTTACGTGCAAAGTCTGATGCGACAAATATTTGGTGATTAAAACACAAATAGCAAACTGAGAAGAACAAAATGGCGGTTTGCTGACGTACTCCGACAGTGGTTTGATAAAACTCTTAATTCACCAACTGTCTTTTTTGTGCCTAGGTACACACGATGTGCGCATGCGTGTTGATGGAGAGGGCCTCCTTGCAGACTTGTACAGAGTAGTAATCAGCGGATTTGATCCTATGACTGGTAGGAACTTCAGCGTCGATACGACAAAGTGTTTACCGATGGCACGACCACCGGATATACCCTTATATAGTACAATAGGTACGTGCGCATCATCATGCCATTACGTCAATCTCTTATCAGTATCATTACCTTATATAGTTTAAATAAGTATGCACTCGATCCGACGTTTTGTCAACTTGTGATCCAGATCAATGTCTGTATAATTAAGGCTTATACGTCAGCTTGATTTACTGCCAGAAATGACGTCTTATTCTCGCTAATTTATATTTTTACTTATTCACCCAATATGCTTTCATTTAAATCGTCATAGAAACTATGGCGCTACAAACGTTAATTATTTAAAGGGGGAGGGTCGTTCCCTGCGCACGCGCGGGAATTGAGTCCCAAGCGACGATAACACACGCTAAAACGCAAAGGGTCATTGGTGCACGCTTGTTTGTAAACAATGACACGCTATGGCCATCTGACCCATGCGCAGGTTAAGACTCCCCCACTTTAATTGAAATAACCGAGTACACAGTGAGGTAAAATACCATGTCGAACCAGAATACCGGATACTCGGCAAGGTAAAATACTATGTTGAATCAAATGTACGGCGGGCATGACTAAACCGACGATCGCTGTCTGTACGTAATAACCTGTTATTGAACATCCTTTATTGTAGCGTGATATGCCGTACGCGAGCGCCAGTTTGAGTCACGCGCGCATGCGCAGTACACGTTTACTTTCATTCAACGTAGTACACGTATTAACCATGCCGTGCATTCGATGTTATTTCATGTTTTACTTTCAATGTTAGCAGTTACTATACGCTTACATCTTTTACAACGTCGGATACACAACGCGTCTTAAATACACAGTATGTGTGCGTGTCTGTGCGTCGTACTAACTTCACTCCAAAGACTATTTAGGGGTATAAGGTAAAATTTATTTAACAACTCATCACGAAAAAACTCCATAAGATGGTTAATGACTAGTAAATCGTTGTTATTTAATATTCAGGTACTATTTACGGGATAGCTCTGTTCCTTGTATTGACGGAAGCATATGGATTACGACTTCGCCGCGTGGTGGCAGCATATTACTACCCACAGAGAGAGCGGGAACGAATTGCGTGGCTGTACACGCACATTTTAAAAAGAAGAGGTGGTTTTTTGAGGTTTCTGAGAAAAGCAATAAGAAAAAATTCTAAAAACTCCCATCCGACAGAGAAGGTCTCCATGATTGATTTCTGTGCGGCAATGTAAGTCAGTAATTTGATTTTGTTCGAAACCATCGTCAATGTTTCTGTTCACAGTTTATTTACGTACAAAGAAATGCACTGTTCTTGTAACAATTTTATAATCCCACATCTTGACTGTTCCTACAAATCCTTCAATCTAGCGACTAAGAGTTTCCGTGACGTTATTGGGCATGGGTGATAGAAAAGTCGCTGTCATTTAAAGTGGAGTTAATAAATACACCCTGCTTGATAAATATGATACAACCTCGAAAACGCGATGATAACTATAGAGAGCGTGGTAGAACATGTCAGCATTTAAAGCAATAATATAAAACAATAAAATGACTACAGTCTATGAACATGATGGCACATTGCGCATGTTGTTATTGAATGACATTATATTTGGGGCAAGGGGGTAGCTGGTACAGGTTAAGTGAAATAAAATACGTTTTTTACGTTTTTCCCACAAAATAAAATAAAAGTTCCAATTACAGTAAAAAATGGGTTTTTTTACACTTTACAGATAAAGCAAATTCCTAATTACATTTTTATAATATATTTGATAATTTGTGCAAAATTGGAATATGCGTACTAATTGCAACATTTACATGTAATAAGATCATTGTACAAATTATGGACGAATAAAATAGCTGATTACATTTTACACCTTGTCCATGTCTACGAGTTTACGTTTTTTACATTATTACGAGAACAAAACAATTTATTACAGCTTACGAAAATATCCCTTGCCGACCTTATATCGCATCATAATTATCTAACGTTAAATATTCAAGAGAATGGGGGTTAAGAGGGAACTGAAATTGTTTACAAGACAAGCATTAGATTAGACCAACACATCCAACTATTTTGGTTTCCTTCAAGTTACCAGATAAATAATTGCTTTGAGCTGTTGAACCAAGGTTGACGACTTGTTTTTACTTTGTAATCTCTTTTCATCAGGTTTCCAATGGTTGAAAAAATTCTTAAAATGTGCGGTATTGAGAAAAAATACTGCTTGGGGTGTGGGCAGTCTGGTGATAAAGATGACACCGAAAACTTTAAACATTGTGTCAACCATGGATGCAAAGGTAATCAGTGATTTGTGTTGACTTGTTATTTTTTATGCGTCTGGAAATTGTGGCAAAAAGAGCGCCATAACTCTAATACGAGTCGCCCTGGTACTGGAATTGTGTCACCCTCAACACAATTCACCAGTCCAACAAATTAATATTTATTCTTTTTTCTCTAGCTCGACATTACTTTTGAAGTGAGGGATAATGTTGGTTATGTAAATGAAAACTGGTTCTTAATGTTTTATATACTTTGTAATAACATTTTATACATACAGGATGAATATTAATCACATATATAATCTCGTGCTTCAGGTATATATTGTATAATGTGTTTTGCCGACTTGAATAATATGTGTACGCTGTGCATGAAACCTGTGGACTATGGCGATTACTCAGATTTAAGTGAAGAAAGGTAAATATATCCAAATTATATCCCATATCCCACCACTGAATCGTACCACTCGTATGTCATATCCGGTCGCTGCCACCAATGACACTGTCCCATGAATCAAGTGTCACATCCTCAGAACTCTGGGTACATTAACCTTTTCACCATCAGACATTCTCGCCCAAATTTGTATGCACTTTTCTTTCTTATATTCTTCAATATTTCTGGAAATGCACCATAATTTTGGAGCCAACTGACACAATTTAGGCCAATTTTCAGTTTTTGTCCAAAAATGTGCCCATTTCTATTTTTTGAGTGAACGGGTGGTGAAAAGGTACAGTAACACTACTTGCTTTGTATTTCAGAGATTCCAGTGATGAAGAACCTCTGCTTGTAATAGATAAAGATAAAGATAAAGCCGCCGGGAGTGCAGATGACAGTGCTTCAGATTATGAATATTCCGATACTGATGATGATGAATATGATGACGATGACGATGATGATTGAAATGATACTAGTCATATATGAATAGCATCGAGTAACTGATTCATTAATTATTTATTAGATTTACCAAAAAGTCTTAACTTAGCTGCAAAGTATACATCATAAGGTCTGCATCATATTTATCAACCGTATGGGAGATACACGCTACAACGCTTGTGCAACCGACCTGCACTTCCCGAGTCGCCATTTTCGGACAAGTGTATGCTTCGACATATCAGTACAGTATATATAACATGGGACAGATAACACACCAGGGGGGGGGGGCTTAGTTGAAAAATAAATGTCAGAGCATACGCAAGTCTCCAGGAAGTGACGACAGAGCTTTGATGCAAATATCGTTGAGAGAGTGTTATATGTTGCCGTTGTAACTATTGTAGTGGACGCGGGACACTATTTGTGACTCGCAATCATTTGTACCATAGGTTTGTGCAGCTAATTCACCTGTTTTACTAAGCTGTCTTTAGTCTAGGAATTGACAGACATGCAAGAGTACAAGTGCGATTTATAAGTGAATTAAAGCACATTTTCGGACCATAAAGTAAAATAGTTACTGTTATGTATGTATTATGTACATGTGACCAATAACGCCCATATTGAATTACCACCAATTTATTACATATCATCCTGAAATTTAAATGTTCTATCTACATACAATTTTAAATAAGTAATGTATCCAGTGCTGAACACTTGTGGGTGTCCATTCATCACGATTGTGTACGCCTAGCAGTCGATTTTAGATTTTGGTTTTCAAATAAATGTGCGTTTTTTTTTAATCATCTAATCAAATATTGTAAGAGACTAATGTTGCCTATCCTGAACGTGATATTGTAATTCTTTGTAACGTTTCCATTAGGTAAGTGATTAATCAAGTAACTCAGTTTCCCCTTCAGTAGCATCAATGTTGAGGCCATCTAATCAACTACCTTTTATTGTTGACACTGTTCACCAAATTGCCAGCCTTCATACATTTTGTTGTAACTAGTCGCCTGCATAGCTAAGCATTCAGCCAATTGCCTGTCACAGTTGCATAGCGACGACTTGCACCTTGCACTCGGACCACCACCGTAGTCATCTGAGGATTCTAAACAAAAGGAACATATCACATTGATTTGCTTGGCTTCGTTTTCATCACACTAACGTTTTATTGACTGTGTGTAAAACGCCATTGTCATCACGCAGCGATGTGCCTTTGACGCGCGCGTGCATAAAAAAAATGTCCCACAGTCACAAGTACAATGAAGAAGCCACTAATTTGTTGCGTGTATCAAACTAATCGCCGTATGCCTGTGGGGTGGGGGTGGGGTATTTTGACCGTTGACATATTGTATTTGTTTAGACAGAATGTAAAATTGTGACACATTGGAGAACACTTAGTTGGCCTCTTTCGCCATGTCTAATGTGGTCATTGATACTTATTCTATCACGAAAAAAAAAAAAAAAACTGTTTTATTATCTTCTGTATATGTATGTCAAGACTTACTGCACTCGATCTTTGCACTGTCAGAGCGACAACCGTCGTGTTCGTATTCGTATCCCTCCAGGTAAACTGACATGGTGAGGCACTGGTCTTCTTGTAAGCCTCCATAACATTCATCGTGAGATTGACAGCACCTGTGTTTGACAGATGAAGTCAAGAATACTGTAGTATATTATTCTTAGGTTCTGTAATATACCAGATCGTCGCTCTTACTGCTATAAATTAGAGGACTCAAATCAGAATTGAATCGTTACACGGAAGGAGACTTTATTTACCAAAACTCGCAACCAGGCTGTACCCAGCATGCAATACGCCTAGGCAAACCCAATACATTACATCCCTCCTTTTCTTGAATGAAAAACACACATGTACTATGTTTGGCTTAACGATATGTTTGAAACCAGTTCACATGTTTTGTTACATAAAGTACAGAAATTAACAGAAACATAACATCAACGTTCAAGTAAATTTCAAAACAGTAAAATATTGTATCACAGTGTTCATCGAACTAAATATTGCTTTGCTATCAGTTCATGGTGAAATCGGTAAACTTGATG